GGCACTGCTCAGCTCGTACATGTCCACCTGGAGGCTGTTCCTGGAAGGGGCGAGCAGGCTCTGGGGGGGGCTGTCGCTGGCGAACACCTGGCCCCGAGCGCCCAGCACGTGCAGCTGGTGGGCCGCGGGGCCGGCCTGCTTGTGGTGCGGGTGCGGCAAGTAGAGGGCGGCGGCGGCGGGGAGCGGGAAGGCAAGGCTGGCGCCGAGTGGGCCCCCCTGGCCCTTGGCGGCGAGGCTGGCATAGCCCCCCACCTCAGGCGGCGTCTTGGTCTGGAAGGACAGGGTGCGCTGCACGCCGTAGCCCAGCGGCTCGCCCTGCACCAGCAGGTGTGGCCGGCCGTAGTGCGGGCCCTGCGCTGGGAAGTGCGCCCCCGCGGCCTCCGCGCTGGTGGGGTAACCCTTGGGCTGATGCTGGGGGCCAGGCACGCCGTGCGGGCCGGCTCCGGGGAAGAGGAAGTCCACGTACTGCCGCGGCACCTCCTCCAGCGCGCTGGCGGCGCTGGCGCTGAAGCCCGGGCCCTCATAGGCCGCGCCGCCCAGCTGGTGGTAGGGCACGAACGAGTCTCTTGTTCCCTCGAAGCTGGGCCTCCGCGACACCGGGGTTGGCACGAGGCCCTTCCCTGCAGGGAAAGAACGGGAAACCAGATCAGCAGGGACGCGATCAGTCGGTGCTGCCACGTTCAGGCTGGTCCCCACACTAGCAATGCCCTTGGGGCCAAGTGGCTGCTCAGGGTCTCCAGTCATTGAGGGCTCTGCCAGGCTGTGCTCTGCTTGGCACAGACCAATCGTCCTCATGTGGCACGAGGGGGAAAGCTGGAGGCTGAAGGGCAATGAAGAGGGCAGTGTCCCAGTCCTCCTGGGGTACATCCCTCACACGCTGAGGACACAGAGTCCGGATCACTATCCTGTCACACTCGGGAACCATCTGAACAGGCAGCTTTATTTTCTCCATGACATACCCATGTTCTTTGGGGTGGTTCAGTTTACCATCAGGATTCCCAAAGTCTGCTTTTCCCTAACGCAAAGGGCAGAAGTGTATCTATTTTCCAAATGTCTACTTTTCTTTTATGTATTTTCCAAATTAAAGATTTTCTGAGCTTTATGTCTTTATTAAAAACAACATATACACAACAACAATAAACCACATAAAATCCCTCAACAAATACCCAGATTGACTTCAGCTGCTGCTTCCTTAATCCTGACTTTTCCATTTTGAAAATCTTTCTTCATTTGAAATAGACGCCTGGAAGGAAGGACAAAAATGCCATTCCTTTCCTTTATGCCCGCTCTGCTCGATTTGGCAGAGAATGCTGCAGAGTCAAAAGGCTGTGCCCATGGGAAACATCCCCTGGGAACACCTGGCAGAGGGAAGGCCCCGACAGCCACGGCATAGACAAGTCACAGCCAAGTGGTGGCTTTGCTTTGTCCGGGCTGAGAAGATGCCTGAGTGGATACACACAGCACAGGCAAGTGTGGAAGGAGATCGCGGCAGAGCGTGGGCCTGTGTTTCCCTTTGGTGTCATGCTCTAAGACAGACCCCAGAACTCTAAGAATTATGACTGGGATGGCCAGCCGGGACTGCTTAAGGCAATTCCTTCTCTCAAGAAGAAAACAGAAATGTGTGTCGTCTGAACAGTGGAGATACAACTAACAAAGCCTGTGAGAATCTCACCACATGAAGTGGGTTTTAGCCAAGGTCTTCCACAAAATGGGGAAACCTCCATTTGTTAATTATCGTGAATCCTTTATCATACCCCAGGGACCTCAGGTACCAAAAAAAAAGCGCCTATCTGCTCCATCTTCAGAGAGTAACTTCACTGACAGCCAGTGCAGCAGAGTGTCTGGTGCGGGAGCCTCCGGCCTTTCCCAGGGACACCCAGGGGAGCCCAGCACCCCGCCCAAGCTGCCTACTGTTGGACAGCCGCTGTCAGAGGGTACAGCATGAGAAACGGTGTGTTTTAGAATTGATGAAATAAGTTCCCTTTTCAAAGACATCTCCACAGGCCCAAGAGAAAGTAAAAACATTTTTACTCTCACCTTGCTGAATTTTTCAATCTTTCATATAAAACAAAACAAGCACACAAAACCCTCTCTCTAGGTAGGAAGTACCACAGATTATTTCAGATTGGGGGGGGGGCAGGCTGAGCATGGGTAAGTCCCCCTCCAGGACCTGACTGTCCAGGCAGGGCAGGCTCAGCTGCCCAGTTACCTGAACTGTTCACAGTGTGCTAAGAACTGTTCACAGACCAAGATCAGGCTGGACCTCTCTTCCTGCAGACTGTTTTGTGTTCTTAGATCCCAGACCATCGTCGCGTACCAGGCTGCTGTCTGGGCTCACCTGGGGAGGTCTGCTTGATGACGCGCACGATCTGCTCATTCCTGGGGTCCAGGTAGCCCATCTTACTGATGTACTCGAGTGCGGCTTCGATGCTCCTGCTGCCAGTCTGCTTGAGTGCTCTACCTGCCATCTCCTGGGGGGAAGCAGGAATATGTAAGTGTGCGACATCCTAAGCAATGCCCCCGTGCCTGCTGCAGACAGTCCTTGGAACAAGCACAGGTGCCTGTGTGTCCTGCAGGTGCCAGATGACAAAGCCTGGCACATACCACACCAGACTGCTCAGCCTGTGTCAAGAGTATGTACAGGAATTTTGATGACAAGCTTGAAAGAAATTTAAGTTCTGATTCTCCTTAGAAAACTTTTGTGGCTGAACTGGTAAATCCAGGTGAACCTAAAACCAGAAAAGCTTCCCAGGAAGAACTGAGGAAGTCAGGGGACCTGGCTTTAACCCTGCCTCACCCCCTGGCTAACTCTGGGACAGGTGACACCCTGTGCTGGCTATGGCAGTAGGGGACTTGCCCCTAGGGACCTGACTAGTGGGAGAAAGAAGCAACAGGAGCCATGCCTGCACAGGACAGTCCCCCTACACTGCTTATGGGATGAACACAGACAGAAACTGGTGGCCACCATGGGAGAGGTGGTGTAAGTAAAGTGAATGAGGGTCAGAGAAGACAGTTTCCTTTCCCTCGAGTAATGAGACTGTGGTGGCACAGCTGGTTCTTGAAGGACAGACAGACTTTGGCAGACTGTTCACCAGGAGACGGAACATCAGAGCAGAGGCCTGTGGGGAGAACAGTCTGGACAGCAGTAGCACACGTGGCACGAGGAGACAGGAGAGAGGCCCCAGCCTGGGGCCAGATTGCCCTGGGGTTCTGCCCTTCTTTGCAGGTAGTCACAGAAGCTTTCAAACCGGGGCACATGGCAGTCAGAAGATCAATCTGGGGGCAGGTGCAGAGCTCGAGGCACTCTCAGGTAGGGGAGACAGAACAGGCAGGAGGGGACACAGCCTGTGTCCCCTAGGATGTGGTATGTTTCAGGCAAGGTGCAGCACAGGAAGACAGGGCTGTGAGGGTTGTGACCCAGGAGCCCAATCACAAATAGGGCAGGTAAGAACACCAGGGAGGCCGGCTTCCAGACAAACATGAAGTAGGCTGTGGCAGACAGAAAAGGGGCTTCCACAGTAAAGGGGGAGGCTGAGCACTTTGAAGGCCAAGGGGAAGGATGGATGGGAGGAGGAGACCTCCCTCACTCAGACAAGGGAGAGAAAGTGTTCTGAAGAGGCACAAGACCCCAGGATGGTGGGCGTGGCTGTTTGGGGCTGTGGTAGCAGAGAGCCACTCTGGGTAGAGAGACGCAGCACTGTGGGTCCCTCTGCCCCTGGATGGGGCATCATCATGCCCTTGACCTTTATCACGTTCAGCTGTCTATTTGCTCCCTTAGGATGCTGAGAACCTGGTGGGGCCTGAAACTCCACATTACTCATGACTGTAAATGCCCACCTAACACAGCGCATAGAACAAATTAAGTGCTTAATATCCATGTGATTTGGCCATACACCAACTGACTGGTGGGACAAAAAACATTGGCTGTACTTCGCTGTAGATTGTGTCTATGGTCTTAGTGATGTGGTGGGACACTGCAAGAATGGCAGGGAGGAGAGACCAGGAGAGAAGATGGGAGGCCTGAGGAAGCAACAGTGGAGGGCAAGAAGAGCTGCCCCCTGGGCGGGAGGAGCATGTGTCGGAGTGGAGGAACATGAAGTGACAGCTTAAGAGGCAGATTGGGAATAGGTAACGAGAACAGAGCTGTTTTTTAAAGTGGCACTTGGATCAACAGAATGGGCAGTGCTTACAATCCGGAAAAGGCATGGCGAGCAGACAGCAGAGGTTAAGAAGTGTGGCACCCGGAGAGGGAGGTAACACTGCAACCTCCCTACTTCACAGCTGTGCTATGTGACGAGATCACATCTGCCAAGACGCTCAACAACTTGGAGGAAAATAGGCTACAAGACCACATTTTAGCAGGATCACCATGGAGCTTTTGGTGCCCATTAAAAAATGTGCCAATTGGAGCTGACCCTAACCACAAGCCTCTCAATCAGCACTAACTGTCCAACTGCTTCATCTGAACGTGGCCACCCTTCTGTTCCCGTCAAGGTGAACCATCAGCACTGTTGTGGGGTGAACACACAGAGGAAGCCAAGACCGGCGTCAGTGTCGTAGTTTTATAGCTCTTTATTTTAGTGTTGCAGCTCTTTGTTCAGTGTTATAGCACTTTATTGCTTGCAAGTAAGGAGCGCACTGGAGGACAGAAGACTCCCAAGCCAGTGTCTCCCAGAACAAAAGAAACAACCCCCTTATATAGCCTAAATTCCTGCCCTTCTTTCTCCTGGGTTCTCATTCAGGTCCTCTTATGTAAATGAGGGATACTGTCCTGTTCATTTGGATTGGCTGATTGTGGGACATAGTCCCGTTGGTCACTTTAGGAGCCTAATTTGCCTCTGGCTCCTGGGGGAAGGGTGTGAGACTGCTGTTATCTCACAGAAGGCGGGCCCAAGAGGCAAGCAGAGGCTCGAGTTTCCAGTGGAGCATAGAGTTTCTAAAACAGTTTCTCAAGCGTTAAAGGGAAAGGCTCAACAATTAAAAATGCTAAGGGTCCCCTGCAACAGCACATGCTCATCACGTCAGTACCTGCTACCTGTCAAGGCTGCGACAACTCCAGAACAGACTATGTCATGTGTTATGTATTCCACCTTTCTCCCTATTTACGGAGCACCCACGACTTCAAGATTTGTACATTTATTTTGCCTCAAATCTAGGAACTTAACCAAGAAAAATCAACCTGAGAAGACCACAAGTGAAGACTCATGTTCACAGGGGGGTTTCAAGCCATAAAACCAAATTGCACTCATGAGCCAACTTGTTTATAAATAAAGCCCTCAAATAATCCAAATCAGTCGAGGCTTGCCCTTGTTATCTGCCCATCACCCCTAATTTAGCAAATATGTAGTTGTATACATTAACTTTCAGAAGACGTTAATGTAGGTACACATACAGCTACATTTCAAAAGCTGAAGGAAATCCAGAATCCTTGTCTAGATCCATCAGGAACACATACCTTCCGATTGCATGCAAAGCGCACACGGAGGCACAAAGGCAGACAAGTGTACGTCTGGGGATGGCAAGAGGGTGGCCTGGGGAGGATGCAGGAGGGACCATGGCAGGGAGGTAAGGCTGGAGCCCAGCTGAGGAGCTTGCCACTTGCCCTCCTTTCTCAAGGACGTATTGAGACAATCGTTTAAGAATCTTGATCTAGAATTGTACAGGGCCATTCCAAAAGATGCCAGGATAGCCTGGTGGTGCAGGCTCAGATGTGGAGGCCACACACCTGGGCTCACACCTCCCCTCTGCCACTTAGCAGCTATGCAACTTTTGGCAAGTTATTAATCTACTTTGAGTGTCTGGTTCCACATCTGTGAAATAAGGGTAACCGGGTTGATACAGGAATTAAAGAAGATAATGGCATGTCTCAGCACCAGTTAAAGAGTCAGCTGTTAGAGTTCTCAGAACTATCTTGTGTCTCTGAGAAAAATATAAGGATTCTATTTGTAGATTTTTTTGCAGGTTCAATGTTTACTATCGCTAATGCTTTATATTTTAGTCTTCTTCCCATAATTACATAAAGAAATGTAATGAGTTCTTTTCACCAAGCCTGGACACCTCTGATCTCTTGCAGTTTATCTTAGGCTGCCGCATAATAAAGGCTGGGCAGCCCGGCCCTACAGCAAGGACAGAGCCAGCTGAAAGGTGAAGGGAAGGGCAGAGCAGATATGTGTTCCAGTATGTATGACGTAGAAAGTGATCCACGATATTTGTTCGTTGAATGAGTCAGTGAATGACAGAATTAGACTCTTATCTAATTCATAATTTATAAAATTTATAAATAAAATTTATGGAATACATAAACAAAAGGAGGAAAGAGCTACAAGCAGGGAGGGACATGCAAGACACTGCTCGTTCCACCGGGTGGGCTGGCCCTGGTGTGAAGATGGAGATAAAGCACAAACCAGAGATGCACAAAAACACAGGCTAAAGGGGATTTAACACAAAAATTAAAAACACCAGCAACAACTTCCTAAGTAAATGCAGTTTGATGGCTTGACATGATTTTTCGACTTTACGATGGCGCAAAAGTGAAACGCATCCAGTAGAAACCATACTTCGAGTACCCACACAACCATTCTGTTTTTCACTGTCAGTACAGTACTCAATAAATTACATGAGATATTCAACACTTCATTACAAAATAGGCCTGGTGTTAGGTGGTCTTGTCCAACTGTAGGCTAATGTAAGTGTTCTGAGCACATTTGAGGTAACGTAGTCTAAGCTACGATATTCAGTAGGTTAGGTGTTTAAACGCATTTTCAACAATGGCATTTTCAACTTACGGTGAGTTTATTGGGATATAACTCCATTATCAGTTCAGGAGCATCTGTACTACCCTCTAATTTGCACACCCGGCCCATTCCTCAGGAGAGCCTCTTCTACAGAAGTTCACATCTTAACACTCTGGCTGTGTCTAATGTCCTGCTTACCACTTACTAATTATTAACAGAGTAATACGGTGGATTAACAAGAATTTGATAACTCTAAGTCACCTAGGAACCCGCACCAAGAAAATCTTATATAAAACTAAGTTCTTCTCTCAAAACACTCTAGAAAGCTTCGTGTAGGATTGATGTCTCAGATAAAAGTGATGCTGATCCCTTAGGAACTCAGTCACCTCATCTGTAAAGCCAGCCTTCTTTTCTAGACAGTCACCAGTGCTGGAGGTGAAGCCTTCATGTGAGGTGCCAGATTTGGCACAAGATACCCCCAGTATTCAAGCTCACTTCATGGTGACACCTCCATCATGCAATGGTAGCATGGCTCAACATGTGCAAACCCAAACTCCCAATTTTACTCCACGTTTTCTCCCAGGCTTCCCAACCTTGGAAGCATCTTTCACATTCCATATCCAATCCAGAAGCATTTTTTGTTAGCTCTACCTCAACTAGAGTAGTAGAAGATTCTGGACGCTTTGAAGGCAGAATTGATACTATTCCTCACATTCCACATCCAATCCAGCAAAATT